AGATCGGCCCTCTGACGTATCACCACCCGCCGCCCGCTCGGCTTCCCCACACACCGAACATTTGCCTAACTTGGCTTTCTTCTCAACCGTCGCTTGTTTGTTGGTCTGCGATCTGCCAGATACTTTTCTCCAACTGCTAGCGCAAGGCTATGCAGCAATTGGACTAGAATGTCAAGCAAGGCAGCCCTGAAAGCGGTGCGAACAGCACTGGACTCGAAAGACTTCGAGCTTGCGGCCGAGAAAGCCAAAGCTCTTGTGCAACAAGAACCTCAAAACTACCACGCGTATGTAACCCAGTTTCTACTCGTGGGATATCCTCCGCTGACGTATATTCGATCTTTAGGAATGTTTTCCTAGGTCTTGCGCTCGATAAACTCAACAAGACAAAAGATGCGGAAAATGCCTACCTCGCAGCAACCCGTGCGAAAGAGAACGACAAGATAGCATGGCAAGGACTGATCAGTCTGTATGAAAGGCAAGGAAACAACAGACTAGACTCTTATCGCGAGGCGGTTATCAAACTTTGCCAGATCCTTGCTGAGGCGTAGGTTCACCATTTGTCTCACCTCTAGCTGTTTGGTAGAACACAAGTTGACCCCTCTCCAGAAATGACCGTCGACGCTGCGAAGAAATTGTTGATAAATATGTCAAATTTACAAAGAAAAATGGCACACGGTCTCAATGTCGAAAGGCCCTCGAACTACATTTACCGTCGAGTCCCATCTACGATATCCTAGAGGGTCTCATCCCGCATCCTGCGCATACCTATCTTCGCCTCATAGAGATGACCGAAGCGGAAGAAAAAGAATTCATAAACAGAGAGATAGGAGAAAGACGTACACGACTAGGTGCGCGCATTGAACAAGTTACACTAGAAGTGAAGAGAGAGGCCTTCAGGCGGAGTGAACTCGAACAGCTTTATCGCGGAATCGTGGACTGGAGCCATGACGATGAGGTCCGGCGTACATATGAAGAGAAGATATTAGAGCGGGGCTGCGATGTTCTCGCCGTTCTTCCGGTAAACGAAAAGAAAGCGAAGCGCGAGGAGGTGTGGGTGGCAGCTCGCGATATGGTCATTATCAAGCACCCCTTCGAGCTCGCGTGGAGAATCTTTCTTGAATGGCAAGATATCCAAAGCTTCTCAGAGTGGGACCACAACTTTTTACAGGACTTTATCGAATTCTTCCCAGAAGCGGGTCTTACTAGAGTCCTGAAAGGTTTCCTGGCCAGCAACCTTTCACCATTCCCAAAGGAGACCAAAGACCCCAAGGCGAAGGACAAAGATTCTAAGGCAAAGGAACAGGACGCCGAGGATGAAAGTGACGAGACGAATGAACTCGGTGTTCAAGACAGTATTTTGTTGATGGTCGAAGGACTTGAGATGTCTGGATCCTCAATTGTTGCGCATCGCATCTTGGGTGAATTTTACTTGACCCTTGAAGAGTACGAGAGCGTTGTGGATGTGTCTCGCAAAGGACTTCGCAACATTCAAGATCTGGTCAAGATGTCTGGCATGAAGCTCCAAAAGACCACTGATTGTATGAATATTGCCCTTGCAAACGCCCTGATCTACTATCAGTCGCCCCGGAACCACACTGAGGCCAAAATCATATTCGAAGAAATCCTCAAGAGAAATCCAAAATCCACGAGCTGTCTACTTGGGATTGGGCTTATCCTCAAGGTAGACGAGGATTATACTGAGGCCGTCAACTTCCTGGAGCGTGCTCTGGCACGAGACCCATCGAACCTCAAGGTTCGTGCCGAGCTGTCCTGGAGTAAGGCACTAACCGGTGATCTTACCTCTGGACTTCATGGGCTCCAAGATGTGCTTGAAGAACTACAAAACTCGGATTCGGAGAACAGAGATTTCAAATCAGAAACTCTTTATCGTATTGGTTATTGTCAGTGGGAGTTGGATCCATCACCTGCGGCACGCAAGGACCGCAATGGTGCCTACGCTAATTTCCTTGCGTCAATCCAGACTAACATTAATTATGCGCCTGCCTACACTAGTCTCGGATTGTTCTACGCCGATTATAAGAGGGACAAGGGCAGGGCGCGAAGATGTTTCCACAAAGCCTTTGAGCTATCGCCATCCGAAATCGAAGCAGCGGAGAGGCTCGCCAAGGCATTTGCGGATCAGAAAGAGTGGGATCTTGTTGAAGCTGTGTCACAGCGCGTTGTGGATTCCGGCAAAGCTAAACCTGCGCCGGGTTCGAAACGACGGGGCTACAGCTGGCCATATGCTGCTTTGGGCACTGTCCAGATTAACAAGCAGCAATATGCCAAGAGTATCGTCTCATTCCAGGCAGCTTTAAGACTGTCACCCGGCGATTATCATTCATGGGTTGGCCTAGGAGAGAGCTACCACCATTCCGGCCGTTACATTGCCGCTACGAAAGCGTTCGAGCACGCGCAACAGTTGGAGGACTCCCTTTCCAACTCAGATAAGGAACAAGTCTGGTTCGCACGGTACATGCTAGCGAATGTCAAGCGGGAGCTTGGAGATTACAACGATGCTATTGCGAGATATGAGGATGTCCTAAGCATCCATCCGAATGAGTTCGGCGTGTCTATTGCACTACTCCATACACTCACGGAAAGCTCTTGGAAGAGCCTCGACCAGGGACTTTTCAACGACTGCATTGAACTTGCCCGTAAAGCGATTCTTGTAGCAACATCTCTAGCCCTGGAAAGGGTCGACATCTTCAATTTATGGAAAGGTGTAGGAGATGCCTGCTCAATCTTCTCCTATGTCAAGTCGAAGACTGCAAGAGCCCCAATCAATGAAGTACAGAAACTACTCTCTACCCAGCTTGAGTCTGCAGTCTTCGACATCCTTACAGATGTCGATGAGGTCGGACAAGATCGTCTGTCAGAATTGAAAAATGCAGATGATGAGACTTGCAGTCTATCGGATAGATGTATGTACGCCTCGATTCTGGCATACAAGCGCGCCATCCATGTGTCAGCACAGGACATTCATGCTCAGGCGGTTGCTTGGTATAACCTTGGCTGGTCAGAATACAGGGCTTTCAGATGTATGCAAGTGTCTACGGGCCAAGGCAAAAAGCAATCGCGAAAGTTTTTGAAGGCCGCAATCCGATGCTTCAAACGGGCCATTGAGCTGGAGGCTGGGAACTCTGAATTCTGGAACGCACTTGGTGTAGTGACTACCAGTATGAGCCCGAAGGTCGCACAACATGCCTTTGTGAGAAGTATTCATCTCAACGACAGAACTGCGCAAGTCTGGACCAACCTGGGGGCACTTTACCTCATCCACAATGACATCCAGCTTGCCAACGAAGCCTTTACTCGAGCGCAATCTACAGATCCAGACAATTCCCAAGCTTGGATTGGGCAAGGTTTCCTTGCACTTCTTTTCGGTGACCCACGGGAAGCCAGGGGTCTGTTTGAGCATGCCTTTGATATCTCCAACTCGTCAGTTCCATTGCCTAAGAAGCAGTACACGTTGAGCTTGTTCGATCATCTTATGTCAGATTCGTCGGCTTCGAATGAGGTTTCAGAGCTGATCCAACCGTTCTTTGCACTCCACCAGCTCTGTTCGCAAGATCCGTCCGATTTACCCTTCGTGCATCTGTCCTCTCTTTTGGCTGAGAGAATTGGCGAACTGTCAGACGCAGAAACCAGCCTACGGGCCCTCTGTACCGCCGTAGAGGCAGAATACGAGGTGTCCGAGTCAGCGTCATCCCTCTCTAAATACGCCCAGGCGAACGCGGATATTGCTCGTGTCCTCCTTGCACGTCAGGAATTCGAGGAAGCCGCCGAAAAGGCGGAGACAGCGCTCATGCTGTCTGGGGAAGAAGACGCCGAGAAGTTCGATCCAGAAACGAACAGCAGGCTGCGTTTGTCAGCCCACTTGACCGCGGGCCTGGCGCATTATTATCTACGGAACATGGACAGTGCGATTGATATGTTCCGTGACGCTCTCCAGGAAGCGGACAATGCGCCTGAAGTGGTATGCCTTCTCGCACAAGTGCTATGGGCTAAAGGCGGCGAGGAGGAACGGGCCGTCGCTCGCCAGCAGTTATTCGACTGTGTGGAGAACAACCCCGAACATGTCGGGGCTGTCACACTACTGGGCGCCATCGCGATCCTCGATTCCGACAAGGATGCCATTGAGGCCGTCGAATCTGACTTGCAGATTATGATCACGAGAGATGATATTGAGATTCACGAACAGACTAAGTTGGTCAAGCTTTTAACAGCCATGTCTACCTTAGGGTTCACTGATAACTCTGGAGTTCCCGAGGAGACAAGACGCATTGGAGAAGCTGCGGCAGCCGTGATGAGATCACCTTACCAGCCTCAGGGCTGGATGGAATTGGCAGCAGCCTCCGATGAACCATATCCCGCGGAGATGGGCGTTAAGAGAGCTTTGCGCAGCGTCCCACCCCGGGGCAACCTTGACGCCGTTGACCTATCTACCGCATATGCACAGACCGGAAAGGCGAGTGACGCACTCCGGGCGATTATGATTGCCCCATGGAAACAGCATGGGTGGGAAGAACTGAATCACACGGTGTCTGCAACAAACTAGTGTGATGGCTTCCGCCTGATGAGAGTTGCGCTTATAGATAGTCGAGCAGGGCATCCTGCAACATGTCTGCTGTAGTTAGAGCATGAGTGATGAAATAGAAGCATCCCGACATACCTTGGACACTACTCAAGGACAGACCTTGTAGTCGTAAACCCGTTCTCAAGCCTTTTACTCCCCCTGCATTTCCGTGATTCGTGCTATCAGTCTCTCCTTTCTACCCTCTCTCCACGTCTGGTCCAAGGAATCAATCTTTCCCCCAAGGAGCGTAACAGATTCCGGTGTCAACAACACCATCCCACGAGCAACCGTCACATTGCGCAACACTAACTTAGCCCCAATGGGCAATTTCCCCAGCGCAATACCACTAACCGGCTTCAACTCGATAGCGACAGCTTTCGTCCCCGCCGCATCTTGAACGACCAACCGGTGCGGGCCATTGCTATTTCCCGTTTCTGGCTGCGCAGAAGTACGATTCCCACCGGTACTCCGCGTTCTGCTCCGGGTCTGCGTCCACATTAATCGTCCGCACAATCTCCCGTCCTCGGATCGCCTCTCCGCGTTCCACGCGCTCAATGGCTTCCACTTGGCTCCAGAGACTCGCGCCGATGTCCTCGATATCGAGGACCTGGACAGGGATCAAGCTTTGGAGTCGTCTTTCTTGTACGGTGGGGTCTAAGACGTCGACGGGAAGGAGCGACGACGGTGTTCGTGTGGAGAGAGAATCTCTAAAGTCCGATGCAAGGATGCGAAATAAGGCCGTCTGGGTCAAGGCCGAGAGGGGCACGTTTCGCTGGTGCGCAGTCGAGTCAATGAAATTACTGAGCCATGCTGCTGAGACCGGAAGTGACTTGCTGCTCAGGAGCTGGGCGGCGATTTGTTCTTCGGGATTGGCCATTAGTGAGGTCCAGAAGTGCAGTGATTTGTGTGTTGTAGTTGAATTTAATTGATTTTCATTTATTTATTCCGCGGCGGAACAAAATCCGGGGAACGGACCACCGCTGAACCTCCTTAGCTGTTCTTTTACCTTCAGACCACGCCTCGCTTTCTCTTTACCTCTCCGTTGTGTTTACATATGAGTATCTTGAACCTGCACCCTCATTAGACTGCCTCAACCGATCAAAATGTCCACCGTCTCCTCCCCCGCCCATCAATCACCTCCTCACGCGCCCACTCGCCCACCCCAGCATCCTCCCGCCGCCCATCTCTCGACACCCTCAACACCAACGTCGGCCTCAGCCTCAGCGCCAGCTCGACCCCCTCCACAGCGCGTGCTGTCTCCCCCTCCCTCCATCCACGCCGCAACCGCGCCGCCCTCCGCGACTACTACAACCTCAAACCCTCGGCAGCCGAAATACCGGGAGCCAGACGATCCCGCAGCATTCCCCGACCCACCGACGCAGCGGACACCTCGAATCCGTCAGTCGTCCAGACCGGGACGGAACTCGATAGTCCCGATTTCGATGCCCAACACTATGTCAATCATCTCCTGGCTACGTCGTCGCTGTCAACGGTGCTGAAGGCGGAGAATACCCTCGTCGGGGATATCAAAACGCTGGATAGTGAGCGCAAGGCGCTTGTCTACGATAACTACTCGAAGCTGATTCGCGCGGTGGAGACTATTGGGAAGATGCGGCAGAGCATGGATGACCGGGGGGCGCCGTTGACGATGACCAAAACGTTGGGACCGGCTATTGCTTTTGTGGCGGAGACGGCTGGGGGGTTGATTCAGGAGGGGGAGGAGCAGAGACGGCGGATGAAGGAGGCGAAGGCGTCGGATGAGGTGGAGCGCAAGAAGGCTGAGAAGGAGACGGTGAGGTGGGTGCTTGGTACGCCGGCTCGGTTGGAGAAGCTTGTTGCGGACGGCAGTCGGGAGGAGGCTGAGAAAGATTGGGAGGAGGTGCGGGAGCTGCTCCAGAAGTGGGAGGGTGTGAAAGGCGTCCAGGAGCTCCGGGAGGCTTGTGAGAAGGCCATGGAGAAGAGCGATGACGCTTCCTGAAGGATGGCTGCATCAACCGATCCTCGAGTCGGGCTACCTTGTGAATACTTGTCACTGGCCTCTGGAAGAATGCCTCCTATCACTGTTAATGCTACTGGCCTTCTGACAGGCTGGGATGGCACAGTACTGCTCGACCGGACCACCTTGATCAAACATGGAACAACCTTATCGGAACGTCTGGCAACTGCTGGCTCGGCTAGTTCACCTACGGGTATCACTTCGATATCAGGGACAGCCAGGAGAAGGTTGAGCTCAAGCTCAACAAACCAATCTCATATCGCATTAGATATCGAAAACGAGCCATAGCAGCTCAGACAGATCATACCGGCATGATCATCATCATAATTAGATGGACAGATATGCAATACATCACAGATGGAAACATGTCAAACTTTCCGCTCCAAAACCTCCCGACTGGAAAACATACTCGCCTTCAACCCATACGAATTCCCACTTGTAATCTCCAGATAGGTATAAGCATCACACTTATAATAGATGGGCCTCTCCTCCCTCCTGACCAACTCCAGCTCGACCAACCGCTCCAACACCCGGCGCACATCGTCGACATCCCCAAAATCCCGGGTATAGATAGCCAACAACCTCGCCTTCCCACGCCCATCCCGCGTGGCCACCTTCGCCGCAAAGCCCAACCGACCCTCGATAGTCTCCTCCACCACAACGCCCCAAACGCGATCCACGTCCTCCTCCCCAAGAAACAACATCCACTTCCCCGACACCACTCCGGTCTCCCTCGCCAGCGCAAAGATCTCCCTCTCCAACCCCCGCCGCAACGGCACCAACTTCCGGCCCCGCGCCAGCGCCGAAGCGCCCTCCATCTCGACCTCCACCGCAACCTTCCTCTCCTCAAACGCCCTCAACATCTCCGTCCCCCGCCCAACCAACCCGGCAATATCCTTCTCCCCCTGCGGCGCCCCGGGATGATCGACATAGATCCACGGCCCAACATCCGCCGCCTCGGTTTCAGAGGGCGGTAACCGGGCCAGGAAGTCGTGAACAGGTTCGTTGCGTTTGCGGGCGTTGTGCGCAGCAGTGGATGTGGGTGTTTCGGGCTCGAAGTGGACAGGGTGCTGGCTGGGTTTGGGTTTGGCTGGGGGGTTGTTTTCAGATATGGGTTGTTTTTTGGAGACAGCTAGGGCGTCATGTTGGATTGTGGAGTAGAGAGTCGGATGGATGGTTTCCCAGTAGGGTCCCGGGTCGTAGGTTTTGGCGAGATATTCCAGGCGGGCTTTTTCGTCTTCGGAGCCTTTTGGTTTCTAATTAGTTTTGTGTTGTTGGGGGATGATGTCATATGATTAAATAAATAAATAACTACTGGTTAACTACTAGTAGTAGTTAACTATAAGGAGACGACACGAACCGTAAAAACTCGACTCGTCGGAGAAGAACTCGTTGCTGTCGAGGATGGACATATCCGTCGTGCGCGTTTGGCGTTTTGGTCGTGGCATGTTGAGTTGGGGATGTGAGTTGATTGTGGTGTGTATATGGGTGGGATTTACAATATAAATAGTTGGGAGGGGTGCTAGGGGATGGCGAGAAGTCTCGGCGTGGAGTGAGGTGAGAATTGGTTTTGTGATGTGTCGGACATGTTGTACACAGTATGGATTGATTTAGTGAGTCTTGTCTGTCGCGATAGCTTGGGGCTAGAGCTTTCTAGTGGTTGATCTGCCGGGAGTGGATGTGGGGTATTGATTTATGTACTCTTTGTAGTTTATATAGAACACTACAGATTAAACGCATCGCAACAACTATCTTCGGGAGAAAGTGCTTATCTGTGGACAACAATCACAGTTATATAAACTGCCTAACTCGTGAGTATCTGTGATAATGACAATCTCATCTATTCCCTTCCCCAAATCTGCTCCACAAACGCCGTCAAATCAGCCTTCAACTCCTTCGGCTTCTCCAGAGCTGCAAAATGGCCGCCCTGCACAACAAACAGTCAGCAAACGACTCTCTCTCTCTCTCTCTCTGAAAACGAAGCGAAGCACATACCTGCTGGTGTTCCCTCCAAAAGACCAGATTCCCCGTCGTCTCGACCCAGCTCTTGGGCACGGGGAACAGCTCCACAGGGAAGTAGGAGAACCCCAGCGGCTTCTGAATGTACCGCAGAGGCTTTTTTTCTGGCGACACGGGGAGCTCCTAAGGACCAAGTATTAGCCCTGACAAACGACATCCAACTGGGTCATACCTCTCGATACGGGTAGATCGCCCGCGGAAAGGTGTCCGTCAGCCAATAGAGCGAGACGAACTCCAGAATTGTCTGCGAGGAAAGGGGCTCGTCGACCCAGGTGAGGAATTTCTCGCCGACCCTACGTCTCAGTTAGGCTCGTCCTTTTCTCTACCAGAGGAAAGGGGGGGGCAATACCACGCGAGCAAAGCAAGAGGGCTCGAAGAGAGGATATGGCCGATGGTACTTGGTCTCGTGGCATGCTCGAGGGCGTATGCGAGGCCCGAGGTCAGGAATTCCTCTCGGAGGGCCAGCCCTTTCTTCTCGAAGGGAGTAAGGTCCACGTCCGACACTCCCTGTGGGGGTGTGGCGATCGCACAAAAGTTCACTGCTGCAGTTGGTCTTCTCCATGCAATACTGATGTTTGGGGGTGCTGAAGAAACTTACAATGAACCGCTGTGTAACCGTTAGCGTTCTGAAGACTATATATCATCTACAGACACCACGAACCTTTGCAGCTGGCATGGTCTACGGCCAGAATCCTGGATACCCGGCTGCCGATATCGCCTCCCTGGGCGATATATCCGCTTTCGAATCCCAGGTCCTTCATCAATTTGTCGATGACTCGGGCGGCATCGTGAGAGCTGTAGTTCCTGTCCAACGGGGGGCCAGAGGAGAAGCCATAGCCCGGCAGAGACGGGACGATGAGATGATACGGCAGGGTGCTGGGGGAGAACTCATCGCGGAACAGCTGGAGCAGGGGGAGAAATTCCAGGAAGCTGCCTGCAGAGTGACGGCCTGTGAGCCCCAGTCTACACAAGAAGCCGAAGAGATAGAGATGTTACAATACCGGGCCATCCATGGAGCAGCACGATGGGCACTGCATCAGGGTTTTCTGAGAAAAGGGCCGCAAAATGCACCCAGATCTCGTCAATCTCGGCTGTGAATTGAGGGAAGTCGTTGATCCGAGCTTCGCACGCTTTCCTACTCGGAGTCAGGTTCTCTATACCCTGAAGGGAGTGTGTACTTGAAGTCTATTGAGTTGACGATACCAGTCGAAGTCATTCAGCCACTTTTCTCGGATCCCCGTGAGCCATTCGGACGTGATGCCGAAGCGGGCGTCTGGCTGGGAATTCTCGTATGTCCGAGGGCCTATCTTCGACAGCTTCACCAACGTGTGGAGCTCGGTCAGCTGCTCCTGAGGAATGGACACCGTGAAGGGGTGTGGGGTAATTCTCGCCGTAGAGGGGACTTGGCTGAAGGGTGCAGACATGGTCTATGGATCTACAGGAAATACTGGAGGAAGTGGTAGCAAAAGTAGGGTAACTGTTGAAGTCCATCCAATGCTCAGTCTACGCTGGTTTGTATACTTGTGTAAGATAAGGCTAATGCGGGGAAGTTGATGATTAATGGGATTATGATTCATAGTTAGGCACGATTGATTTCTAATACGAACAAAACCGAGTCTGACTACATCAATCTGACGAAGACATTGAGTCAGATCATATCGCATGGCTGACAGATCTTGTTCTGTTCCAACATACCCTAGAACATATCCATGGCCTAGAACATACAGTATCCGTACCCTAGACGAGATGGGGAACCCCACAGTTGCAAATGTCATCAAGTTAATATTATCTTAACTCCGTTCCGATCTACGGGCACGGCAATTTGACCCTATCTGGATCGTTACCCTCGGGTTCCATCGATCATCGGAAGGGCTTCCCGATCCCAGGTTTCTTTCCCCAGGGTTGCGGATCAGCCGAGCTCTCATTTCCCTTACCGTTTTGAGTATAAGACGCGATGGAGGAGATATATATAGTCCAAGGACACCCTTCGACGAAATGTATAATCTACGAGTCGCAAGCAGAGATAATTGCGATTGACCAAATACTCAATCCACCATGCCATCATCATTCGCATCCATCTTGAAGGACACCAGTCTCTTCGTCGAACGCTCCTACATCAATGGCCAATGGGTATCCTCCAACTCCAACGCCACATTCAACGTCACAAACCCCGCAAACGAAACACAGATTGGCGTGGCCCCTGAATCCACCCTGGACGACCTGAACGTGGCCATCGAGGCCGCCGCCCAAGCATTCCCCACCTGGCGGTCCGTGCCAGGCCGTCAGCGTGGCCGGATCCTGCGTCGCATCGCGGATCTCCTGGTCGAGAACAAGGAGGACATTGGCAAGATCATCACCGCCGAGAACGGCAAGGCCAAGGCCGACGCCGAGGGCGAGGTCATGTTTGCCGCCAGCTTCTTCGAGTGGTTCGGCGAGGAGGCGCCCCGGATCTACGGTGATATCATCCCCCACAGTAGCACCGCGGGCCGGACGCGAGTGATCAAAGAGCCCGTCGGCGTGTGCGGCTTGATCGTGCCGTGGAACTTTCCCCTGGCCATGGGCGCGCGCAAGGTCGCGGCGGCCCTCGCCGCAGGATGCACGGTCGTGATGAAGTCGGACGGCCTGACGCCATTTGCGTCGAACGCGATGGCGGTGGTGGCGGAGCGCGCGGGCGTGCCCAAGGGTGTCTTCAACGTTGTGACGGCGCTGGACAACACGCCTCAGCTGGGCCTGGCTATGTGCGAATCGGATGTCATCAAGAAGATCTCCTTCACGGGGTCGACGCGCGTCGGCAAGCTGCTGATGAAGCAGTCCAGCAGCACGCTGAAGAAGCTCAGCCTGGAGCTGGGCGGCAACGCGCCGTTCATTGTGTTCAACGACGCCGACGTGGAGACGGCCATCAGCAGCGCGCTCATCAGCAAGTTCAAGGTGACCGGCCAGACCTGCGTGTGCGCCAACCGGATCTTCGTGCAAGAAGGCATCTACGAGCGATTCGCGCAGCGGTTCGTCGAGGAGGTCAGCAAGTTCAAGGTGGGCAACGGGCTGGAGGATGCCTCCGTGACCCACGGCCCGTTGACCAACGGCGTGGCCAAGGTGGAGGAGCATATCAAGGACGCGGTGAGCAAAGGGGCCAAGGTTCTTCTGGGCGGCAACCGGCTGCCGTCGCTGGGCAAGAACTTCCACGAGCTGACCATCCTGGGCGATGCCGACGATAGCATGCTGGTGGCCAAGGAGGAGACCTTCGGGCCCATAGCAGCCTTGATGAAGTTCACGACCGAGGATGAAGTCGTCCAGCGCGCGAACAACTGTGAGGTCGGTTTGGCGTCGTATCTGATCACGAGCGACCTGGCCAGGTCGCACCGGGTCTCGGAGAGACTCGAGTTCGGCATGGTTGCGATCAACACTGGTGCCATATCCGACGCACCGGCACCGTAAGTTTTGATTAACCCTATTTTTTCAATACCTAGTATATACTGACCGGCTCTAGATTCGGCGGCGTCAAGCACTCCGGGATGGGACGTGAAGGCAGCAAATATGGACTGGACGACTACATGACGATTAAGATGATTACGACCGGGGGGATCAACACAGTGTACACGCGGTTGTAGATGGTATTATGACAGTTTAGACGACTTATAATAGATTAAATTGATTTCTTTCATGTTCAAGTCACGTCCTTGTCATTACACATGTCACCAATATGACATCTCTAAGTACACACTCGTAGAGAACATTCATTGTTCAATCATTATAGAATAGACATAGATCAATCATGGCCAACAGTCTATATAAATCTCTCGACCAATCACTCACTCACTCAATCAACAAAAATAAAACAAACCAAAAAAGGGAAAAAAGAAAATAAAAAGATTTCACCGCCCACGCCCACAGCACCACAAAAATAGAAATACTTTAAATCATACTCCAGATTTTCCTACTGCAGCATATGCACCTAAATATAGAGCACACTGATTAGATACTGACCTCAAATATACTATACTATACTATACTCAACCAAAATGCCCCAAACCCCTCAATCGGCCACCACGGTCTACCTGGACCAACCGCCCAGTTGTCTGCAAACCTGTCCGGCATCACCCAACCACATCGTCATAGGCACATACCTGCTCACGGAGACGAAAGATGAAGCCAAGGACACCATCCAACAGACCAAAACAGGCAGCCTGCAGCTGTGGCAGTTGACCGCGGAGACGAATACTTTGTAGGCTACCCCACTTACTCACTATTTTATAGAAACCCCCTCCTCCCCTCACCCAAACCCTACCTACTCACCATA